GAATTTGGATTTTGGAAATCGGAACTATTTTTTAAAAATAAAACAGCGGCTTTTGCATTTAATCAGAGAATAGATTATAGATACTATAGACTATAGTCTCTCCTATGTGATTTAATATCGCCACCAATGACAATGATTGAATGAGAAAGTGAAGCCGGAAGTGTCCATTTCGTGCGATTTTTCTCTTTACTCACATTTTCGATTTGTTTCCCAACAACAGACTTGTTGAAACTTGTTGTGACAGGGCAAAAATTGTTTGTTGTGGACAGGTTTGTCGCAGGTCTGATAACAAGCTTGCTGCAGACTTGACAAAAACAACTCGCGACAGGTCTGTTGGAACAAGTTGTAACAGACCTGTTGATTTCAACAGACTTGCTGCAAGTAGTTCTATCAGACCTGTTATCTCTTGTTAGTAACAGGTTTGTAGCTGGTTGTTTCAACAAGTCGCTACGGCTTTGTTGTCAACAGCTTGCGACAGACCTGTTCCCGCAATCCTGTTACCATAGAGATTATAAATAACACTAGAGGAGGCATTGTAATCTTACTTCAGTCAAAAAAAAGGGAACGCGGCTATTGGGGGGCAAATTTAAGTCCCGGATGTGTATTCATGTTTCCATTGGGGACGAGTTTCAAATCAGCCAATCAGGGCACGATTTTATATCCGGGACTTGAATTTACCCCCCATTAGCAGCGTTCCACAAGATATTCTTCGGAATACCAATCGATGTTTTAACTGTCTTAAAATTGGTCATCACGTTTCTAATTGCCAAAGCTCCAAGGGTTGCAGACATTGCAAGCAAAAACACCACCAATCCATTTGTAACAACTTGAAATCCCCAATCCCTGACAACAAGTCCGACCGCAACAAAACAACAGAGGAATCAAAGGGAACCACAACTATATATATATATATATATATATATATATATATATATATATATATATATATATATATATATATATATATATATATATATATATATATATTATTTACCGGATTGGAGGTCCGTATAGAGAAATATTTCTCGAGGTCTTAAAAACGGCCCGAGGCCGAAGGACGTTTTTAAGACCGAGAGAAATATTTCTCTATACGGACCGACCATACCGGTAAATAATATTTTTTTTTTTTAACTCCTTCTCTGGATTTCCCCAATCACTCCTCCCGCACGCGAATGAAGCTGCCAAATAAAACGTCGTTTCTATATCAATGCTATCGGGAAGAGAATAGTAAAATTCGTTTTCACTGTGTTTTTCATCGTCTGCAGGCATTTTAATGTTTTAAAAAGTAGCCTTTAAACTCGTTTTTAAATTTTGAAAAATAAAAACATTGGCTCTACGGCTTTAAATCTCGCTCGGTCCGTACGGGCTCATACGGACCGCTCACGTAGCCAATCAGATTGCAGAAAAGCGTAAAATATGACTTCGGACCGCAAGAAAAAAAATAAATATATATATCTCACTGAATGAAGATACTGAGAATTTATCTTCAACGTCATTTTGGTCCTATTTTCAGGTTAGCGATACATTTCTTTTTTACACAATCATTCTTTCACCTATTCTCTTCTATTATGGCTTCATCCAACCCAAAGGTACTGGTATTTGGTCATTCCTTTGTGAAGCGCATGCATCGGGATTTAAGATCCAAATTTGTTCGCGCTGCCCCGATGTTCGCGCTGCCCTAAATTTTAACATGCACAATGTAGCTATCAAACTGCATGGTGTTGGGGGGAGGACTGTTGACAAATTAGTTCAATTTGATTTCAACAGGGTTACCCAGTTTCAGCCCAACATTGTTATTTTAGAGGTTGGGACAAATGACTTAACCTTGGGAAAACCCGAAACTGTGGGATCGAGAATTGACGATCTAGTGCGCATGTTGCTCGGGGTTCCATCGGTCAGAGTTGTCGGCGTGTGTTTGGTAACCAATCGGGCCTCTTCTCCAAAATTTAATGAGAAGGTTGCGATCTTGAACCAGTACCTTACGGTTGTGTTAGAAGATAAGCACAATGTCTTCTGTTGGAGACATAAAGGTTTTACTCAGCCAACCATTTCGCCTTTTCTGCCTGATGGCGTCCATTACACCCGCAGAGCTCAATATACTTTGTATAGAAGTTATCGGGGCGCCATCCTCAAGGCCATTCAGTTTCTTTCACGCTGTGCTTAGCACACAGGTGGTCGCATTTTTATTTGATTTTCTTATTCGCATTTATATACCATTACTTGTTTATGTTAAAATACAACTATCTCACCCTTCGTGGCGAGTCGAGGCTTCGCCCTCAATATTTGTTGTTATACGGATCGCACTTCGCTGCGATCCCTGCTGAGGCTTCGCCCTCAAAATTTATTTTTTTTTAAAACCTCTCGCTTCGTCGAGATTTTGTCAGAGGCTTCGCCCTCGTTTAATTATTTCAAAACCTCTCGCTTCGTCGAGATTTTGTCAGAGGCTTCGCCCTTATTTAATGAAAATGTTTTCATGCACTGTAAGTCGAGGCTTCGCCCTCGTTTTTTCCATCTGGCGTTTTGGGCAAGTGGTGCGGTCACCGTTTTAGTGTGGCCAAGCTTGACCCAGTCAGTTAAAATTCTCCTATTTATCGATCGCGTTCGCGTTCCTTACACAATCTGCGTTCAGAGGGGCAACTAACTCCTAATCCATTTTGCAGTAATTTCTCTTTCAGTTCATTATGCCACCTAAAGGTTCTAAGAGTTCGAAACGCAAGTCGTCGAAATCTCCGGCCAATCCATCGCCGTCACAGCGACCTCGTGTGCAGACTCGTAGTTCGACCATTGCCTTAGAGCCAACCATTGCTTCTCCGTCCGCTGGTGCAACAACGAGCTCAACCGTACGCGAACCCGTCAACGTCGCCAGTACCTCGGCAGCGCCTGATGCTAGTACCATCTCCCCGCAGCTTCTTCAGCAGATCGTGTCAACAGTTACTGCTGAAGTTACTCGGCGACTTACACCACACCATCAAGCGGAGTTTTCGGACGCTGTTGTTGAGGCTCCAGTTGTCGCGATGGGAGCATCCACCTCGACCGAACAACCCGCCATTGTTTCTGGTATTGTGGAAGAAGCTTTACAGTCCGTCCATTCCGCCGTTGCAGGTGAGCCTTCCTCTTATTCTGCGATGCCAAGTCAACCCTATGAATCGATCCATTTGCCTCTTGACTCCAGGATCACAACAAAATTAAAAAACAAAATTTGGAACGACGAATATATTGATTTTGGGTCTTTGTTGAGCAATCCCGGGGCGGTCGACAACAAATTTCAATTGAGTGTAA